AGATGTGACCACTGAGTAGCAGTCACATTTGCTTTTTAAGAGCCAGGCTGGGCTTGACTATTACACAGTTCTCATGCCAAAGAAGTAGATAGGAAGAATAAAGTAAATGAATTTTTAAAATTTGCCCAATTTTAAAGAGAGAGTAAAGGAAGCTCTGAAGTTAAAGTACCACCAACAGATGAGACCTTAGTAACTGCCAAGCAACAACTTTATTAAAATTTATACAATCTACAAAAGAATCTCAGCTAGGGTATGATTCTTGATGCTCCTGAATTGGGAGTGTTTTCACCTTGACCTTCTTAGCGCAACTTAAGCAGCACTTCATTTCATTGAAGGGCCGATTTATAACCAGTTGAGACTGTAACCCATAATTTCTATTTTAGAGAATCAGTAAATGCCTACCACATTCACATTCAGAGGCAAGACTGATGAGTGCAAAGACAGTACTCACTTCAGTAAGCAACAAGTCCATCATGGTAGTGGAAACAGGAAGATCTGCCTCAGTCTGTTTGCCAGCAAAATGTATTTTCCACCTGGAAGCACAAGCTTTATTTGCATATTGCCATTTAAAAAGCATATAGTTCAAAGATGTTCTTCCTAAACTCTTATTCTGATAACTCAGTTGGTTTAAAAAAAATTGGCTGCTGTGCTGTTACAGGGACAGTACCCAATTCCCCAATCACAAAAACAGAAGCATCACTAAAGCGAAATAATCCAACTGGAGCATTAATGTAGCATACAGATAATAATCATTGGGTCTCAAACACCATAAGAAAAGCTGCTTGTCAGCTTCTACTTCTTCAGTAACATCTAACCCTTACTTTTATTTGTGGACATTACTTAAACAGAAACACTAGAGAATTATAAAGGGGTAAGGGAATTGTTACATCTCAAACCAAAGCATTTTGGTGCTACTGCAAGGCTTTTTGAGATGGCTTAAAGCATCAAAGGTTGCTCTCATGGACAGGGCACTTCAAGCTCAGAAGACCAGGATTTCAGTTCTGAGTCTGGCTACAAGCTTTCTGTTGAACAACACTTATCCTGTACCTCAGCTGACATGAGAATCTCACCACCTTGCTATACTCACACCTTCTGTGGACTCTCTTCAGGAGTCTATACATCACCTCTATTTCCTCCCCCCACCAGAAGAACTGGTTTTACCATCTTACTGGAGGGATGCAGGTGTCATATCCAAGATGGACCCATTTATCAGATCCTGCTGTTCAAATGCAGGTAGAGGTCTGGCTGCAGTACATGTGGAACCACTTTGTGTGTGCACTCTTGGATTCAACTGTAGTGTGTCCAGTGTCAGAGCATCTGTTAAAAAAAGATATTCAGACTTGATACGAGAGGTGTCTGTTTAAAGAAAAGAAGCAAACAAAAAACACAACACTGCTAATATTCATATGTGCAGAATAGGTAGTCTTGATCAGTGCCCCTTCTAGAGAACTAAAGGGAGGAACACAAAGAAAGAGACAAGGAGATTTACAGAACGTGTTTAATGCAAAGCATAATTATGACAAATGCTACAAAATCATTCTGGCCATAAAAGTAAAAGAAATTAACGCGTGTTCAGGTCTAGTTATCTTTTCTCCCCCCTCCACCCATTCTCTTCCCCTCCACTCTGGCCTCCAAAACCATAAGTCAGAGTCAAAAAGCCACACTGTAAAACAAACAGACAACAAAACACCACGCAGAACCCCTTCCTATGTTCTTCTTATCATGCATATTAATAAGTTAGATAAAAAAAAATGAAGATAACATAGATAATATCATTACTTCATTAGGCATTACTACTTGGTATGCATGCTATAATCTCAGGTCATACCACATTAGCAAAGTACTGTAACAGCGTGTAAACAAAGGGGCACTATAAAAAGAATAGGCTTGGATTCAACTACAAAAATTCAGGTAATCAACTATACATATATCTCTTTATTTCTTCCAGTGTATTGCAAGGAGATATTTAGAGTTTCACTAAATACACCATACAGGCAGTGTCCAGAGGATGGTAATAGTTTGTTTATGCCAGGACTATTCTACCAGAAACTAAAATAATCCTAAATCTGTACCATTTTGGTTATGCTCTGGAAAGTGCCTCTGCTTAGTTCACTTGCTACTGTTAGGGACTATTAGAAAGAAGTTTCAGAAAACTCTAGAGAAGTATAATAGACTACAGGTGGGAGGACACTATTATTATTATTATTAGCAGAACCCATTTGAGGGGAGTATGACCAACAGTTCAAAAGATATCAAATGCCAATCTTACTTTAAGGGAGTGGCACAGCCCAGTTTCTTTATGGCACAGCTGGCAGCCAAACTATTCAATATGACTTTAATATTTTACAGCAATTAGACTTGGAGCGTTGTCATGGAGGAAGGAGACAAGGCTGCAGTATGCAATATGAGAGTCTCACATGAGTAGAAATAGGAGCAGCCCCGCAACTCACACACCTCAGCCACCAGTTGGGAATTGAAGATTGCAAAAATTGCAGAATGATGCAGCAACTGGGAAGCGTTTCACAAAGTAGCATACTGGGACATGAAAGGTAACCTAGTGCTTAGGTGGAAGACTACAGTTGAGTCCACATGTGTATGATAACATGAGAGTCTTAACAGCAAAGGCTGAAATTTAGATTAAATGAAGGTGGCTAAACTGTTTTTAGGATCAGTAGTCTATAGACTAAAAACATAACTTTGTCAGTTTCAGATACTGTGCCTATATACATGTGCCACCTTTCAACTGCCATTCAACCACTGAAACTAGATCATGAAGGACACAGCTGTTCTTTGTGGCTAGAGCCTAATGGATCCCACCTAGCCTAATGGATTAACATCTCGGGTTAACTGACAAGTTATCCACAAAATAAAGCCAGTGGCAATTGTCCCCATGGAATGCCATGCCAGATATATACTAAGAAGTACACGTGCACATAGTACATCCCACACTTAGCAGCCTGCCATATTAGATTTAGTTCAAAACTACCTGCCAACTAGTTCTTTAAAATTTTCAGAAGGAAAAAAATCCAGGTGGGAAACTAATTAGTAGACCTTACCCAGTAGAGATGTGTACCACCTGCACTCATGTCCTGACAAAGGTACAAAGGAAACTCCCAGGCACTGATCTCGTCTTTGGGAGCAGCAATGTTGCTAATTGAAAGGAAAACACTGCATGTTAGAACTGGCCTCTCCTAAAACCATGTGTGCGTGTGCATGCACACAATAAAAAGAACAGAGCCCCATTATGTGAGGCACTAAAAATACGTAGTCACTAATTAGAGCTATTTCCATCAATAAGAGCCAGACAGTGGCTCTTAATTGGAAAGATAGAGTAGAAGTATGGGGGGGGAAAGAGGGAGAGGACAGAGTATGCACAGTTAACAAATATGCAATAACCATATTAGGTCTACTTTAAAAGCGGGAGTAAAGGTGGAGAACAAGTTCAGGACACAGGCAGGGAAGAAGTGGTTGAGAATCAGTGCATGTGCAGCTGAGGTAATGAGAGAAAGAAAGAGGAACAGAGCTGAAGAGGTGGAATCTCATCAGAATAGCACAGACGACACCCATTCCAAGAACGTTTAAAAAAAAAAGTCCTGGTTTGGCTGCTTCTGCAACTGCCCCTTCACTAACCACAAAGCAAGTGAGAAAAAAGGCTCCACTAAGGTCCTAGATTTCCCCATAGCGCATATGCCAATTTGTTCAGCAGTAAAAAGGCTTTATTTGAAGACTTACTGGATAGTCACTATTGGAAAGAAAGAATTTCTGTAGCAGTAGCCTTCACCCACATTCGACTTTGGGGGCTTTTCAGGGAAGGAAGGTTAATTTTGAGTGAATACATCATTGAAGAATCTACATCTTCCATCCTCAAGAATGCTGATGTTAGTTTTGGTTGAGTCACCTTTTAATAATTTAAGTACCATTTTTAATTAAACCCACCCCCCCAAAAAAAACTGTTCAAGAGTGACTGGAGGAGACCTTGTTTTGCTTAAGTATAGTCCCATTTTCAGGTTTCTATTATTGAATGAGGTGCATTCATTAAAAGTTTGCAAACTTTTGCACAAAGGTTACTAAAGTGGCCTGGAGCATAACATTTTCAGAAGCACAACAGGAAGCAAGACATAAAAACAGAAAGGTGACACATAGGTAATAAGACATATTCCTTTAATGTCCTGAGGATAGAGGTGACATATGTATGCATGCCATTTTTTTTTTTTTTTAAAAAAGAAAAGAAAGTTGAGCGGTAGTTCCCCACATTAGTCTGAAGTTAGACAGAAGGTAGAGCAGCGTGACACCTTAGAA